GGAGGGACGTGGATGGCCCATGGCGGGAAGGCAGAGGCCGTGCTTCCTGGCATGGGCAGGGCACCTGGGGACAGAGCGAGGACTCCTAGGGAGAGCCGCAGGGTGGACACACGCCCTTTGTCAGAGGAGGGGACTCGCGGAGGTGGCCAGCAGGGACATAGGTGTCAAACTCCAAACCTCAGCCGCTTTGCCACCCCTTGGGTGGTTGACATTTCCCCAAAAACTAAACTGTCGATGCTGTTTCCACCCCTAGGCCTCCCGGGCTGCCTGGCTTCCCCCCACTCCTGAGGACTTTTCCCTGGAGACAGGTGGCGACATCTTGTCTCAATAGGGTGCATGTGGCTCCTGCAGCCATTGAGGTGCCTCCGTGTTTCTGCACAACTTGTGGCCTTTAGAGTCTCAGGACACACAGGATGTGTGCAGTTGTCACGGACGGGGGTGCCCTCAGTGGAGTGCCACCACACCCAACAGGACAGGAAGGCTGGGCTTGGCATCACCACTGGCTGCGTCCCCTGCTGCCACCTGTCCTTTGCAGGAGGCCCAGCCAGCCGTGGTGACCCCATCAGGCTGAAGCCAAGCCCGAGTCCCAGTGTGACTCTTCTCCCCACGCCGGGCTGCCCTTCACGTGTTGCTCTCTCCTTCCAGGTTTCTCCTGCAGGGAGTGAGTCAGGCCTCTGCTGGCCCGACCCCAGCCCGCGGGCCAGGGGAGACCTTGTCATGATGGCTCAGGTCCAGCCGAGGTAGGCATCGGGGTGTGCCCAACCAGGGTCCAGCTGGGCCAGGGAGGGACACAGACAAGGCCCTGACCGCCCTTGCTGGGTCTCCCACCCTCCCTCCAAAAGGGAGCCCCATCCTTCACACTGCTTGTGTCACCTGCTCCCCCAGAGCGGTGAACCGTGGCCAGGAGTCTGCATCTGATCCAGCCCCTCTCCCTGGGACCCCAGGGTCCTGGGCCCCTGCACAGGCCTCCGGGTCTGTGGGTTGTTCTGACCCACGTGCACGCGGGTCCCCCGGAAGAGGGGCACGAACTCTCCCTATGTCCCTTATGGTGGGGAGAACGGGGGCAGGCTGGGGACTGTGAGCCGAGACTTGGGGCCGTTCCCAGCCCTGGCACTGGGCAGGCCCTCCAGTGACTCCACCTGGGGCACCCCATGCTGCAGACCACAGGTGCACGTTCCTCCAGCCAGCAGAGTGCTGGTGCCCACCCCCACCGCCCTGCCTGTGGCCAACATGGCCGTCCTCTTCCGTTACCCTGCACTCGAACCTGCCTCTGGGCAGAGCTGTCAATTATTTATGGCCAAGTGTCTGGTTCTCTCTGGTGAGCGGGGAGGGAGGGTCACGGTGCAGCCCTGGGCCTTGTCTTGCCGCCTTTTCCTTTTCTATCCTCCTCCTTCCATCTCTCTCCTCTGCTCCCCCCACCCCACCCCCGCCTGTCCTCCTCCGCTTCCTCCTCTCTCCTGTCCTCCTCTTCTCCCTCTCCCTCCTGCAGCAGGGTGGGGTGGCAGGTTCCGGCCTCTTGCCCTGTAGACTCTGTGCCTCTCGGGCCACTTGTTGACAGCACCCACACGACACCTGGGGTGGACCAGAGGTTGTTTGGTCACAGTGGCCCTGGTGGGGAGCAGGAGGAGGGAGATTTCATGTCTGAATCTCCCAGCAGCCTCACCCGCTCAGGGATGTCCAGAAGTCCCCAGAGAGGGCCCTGGGGTCTGGTTGGTGGCCCAAGCCTGAGGAGACCTGAGAAAGGCTAAGACCCAGGGCAGCAGGACACCTTGGTGTGACTGGGGCAGGTGTGACCAAGCCTGGGGGTGGGGGCTTGAGGCCTGAGAGCAGTTGACCTGAGGCCTACAGGGCCACCCCAGCCACCCAGGGAGGCCCCCACTTCTCTGCCTGGTCCTCTTGTCCTGCCACACCTACAGGCCAAAGCCTCTCATCTGGTGGGTACTGTGGCACGTCCATCCCCTGCAACATGGGTGTCCCCGGGGCTGGCCCTTCCAGAACTGCCCTGAGCCCTGGAGAGGGGACAGAGCAAGAGAGGCAGAGGGCAGAGGGCTGGGGAGAAAAAGGCTGCGGGAAGGGGTCACGGTCAGCTTAGCGACACTCAGTGAGACTGCCTGGGAGTCCCAGGAGAGCTCAGGCAGCGGCCAGGAGTCCCTGTGGCTGGAGCAGAGACCCGGAGGAAACAGGAGGTGGGGGTCATGCCGAGCAGCGGGAGGGACATCTCCACAGCCCCCTTGAGCTTCAGGTGGAAGAGCTGTAGGACCAGCTCAGGGGCCAGGAGAGGCGGTGGCAACTGCCCAGGCACTGTCTTGGGGGATGGTGACAGGGGAGGAGCAGCCCGCGCTTCTGGTGGTGGAGCTGGCCATGGCCGCCAGGCTCTGCCTGCGAGCAGACAGACAGACAGGGTGAGGACAGCGGGGTCAGCACGCCCCTTCAGGCTGTTCCTCTCCACCTTCCTGACAGGCCCGGTGTAGGAGTCCAGGCCCCAGAGGCGCCCAGGATGGAGGACGCCACAGGAACCGTGCAGGGCCTGGTGGTAGAGCTCTCCAACCTCAAGTAAGGCCAGGAGCTGGGCGGGAGGACCCGGGAGCAGGGAGGAACCGAGGCAGGAGCCTTGGGCGGGCAGCAAGGCTAGGGGACACTCCCCTGGCCGGCCTTCTCCATCTGGGCCCCGGAAACCTGACCTCAGGAGGAGGGGCCAGCAGTCCCCCTGCTGCTTAGGCTGGTCCCAGTGTCAGCGTAGAGCACCACGAGGGGCCATCTGCACGTGTGCCTCTGGGCAGGGACCCCATCCCATGGTGACCACCAGTGCCCCAGCTTACCGTTTCTGCTGCAGCCGGCTGATCATGAGCGCCCACCGAGACCTGGAAGCCTTCAGGCGCCTCCACTCCCGGAAGGCGAAGCCACCAGGGAAGGCCCCCTCTCTCTACCCACCCAAGGGGAGCCTCTCCCGGGGGGAGCAAGCCTGGAGGGACCTGTAGGCCACTGCCTGAGCGCCCACAGGCTCCCTGTGCACCCTGGTCACCTGCAGCACCCCCACCCCCACCTGATGTTGTTTGCTTGTGAGATTGTCCAAGGGGTCCTGAGGCGCCCCAGCAGCTCCCTGCAGCCGGAGCCAGGAAGCACCACTGTGTGGCCAGGATCACAGCCTCCGGCGGGAGGCAGCACAGGGAGGGCAGCTGTGCCTTCCTGGAAGCTGGAAGCCCGACAGAAGGGGCTCCAGGAAGTGGCCATCTGAGCAGGGCCCAGACCCCGGGCCTCGATGTTTATCTGGGTTTGCAAATTCAAGCTCCTTCCCCAAGGTTGCCCTAGTTCAGAATCTGCTTCCTTCTGGAGGAGAGAAGGGCTCCCTTTGTTGTTTGTATCTTAGTCTTTCCCCCAATTTCCATTTTATTTCTTCTGGGAAGACCAGTAATAAACGATCCTTTCATGGACCTCCTGACCTGCCTGACCTGCCGCTGGGGGAGGCATTTCCGGTCCCTTGACATCCGCCCTCCAGCCTCTAGACTGCTGCCCCTCACCCCCTCCCCTGCCTCCCAGTGAAGGTGGGGGGTGCTGCTGGTGGGACACCGGTCAGGGGATCCCCACGAGCTTCCAGGGTCAGAGTCCGAGTCTCTGGGAGAACTGGTTGTGTGCACATTTCAGTGTCACCTGCACAAACCTCCCCCAGGTGGCAGATCACCCCTCTGGGGTGAGGCTGGGGCTTCGTTGTCCCTGCCCACCCGGCCTGGGACAATGTGCTTCCTGGGACAATGTGCTTCCAGAGCCGGCCAGGAAGCTGCTGCAAACTCAGTTGCAGGCCGTCACCCAGTTTACAGAAAGCCATGTGGGTGGCTGCCTGGCTCCTTGACACACTGAGCACCTGACTCCAGTCCCCGCTCCCTGTGGTTCCTTGGCCAGGGAGGCCACCCTCCCTATCCCCCCCTCCACGGTGGCCATGGAGGCCCACTGCAGGAGGGCGCTCTGCACCTGCCAGAGGTGCAGCTTCACTCCTGAGCCCCCCCAGGGCCGCCCTGCCCTGCCAGGCCCTGGGTCTCAGCAGCTCAGGTTGGGAGGCCAGCAGTCTACTTGTAGCCACGGGGTGTCATCTCCCCGAATCCCTCACAGGCCCTAGGGTCACTAAGGAGCCCTCCTCTGTGCTCCTCCTCCTTCCCACCACCTCCTCTCCCCTGCGAGTTGGCACCCAGCCCCAGTGCACCCAGGCCGCTTCCTGGGTGGCCTTAGGTCCCTGTTCAAGTTCCAAAGCCCAGGGCACAGGAGGCCCTCCCAAGTCCAATTCCTGCTCCCACCTCAACTCTGGAGACTGAGCCAAGGCTGGAGCCAAGGCTGGAGCCCCGGCCGGGCCAGTCAGCTGGACCCCACTGCTGCCTCGCCACTGCCCAGCAGGACCCGCCCAGCTGGAGGAGGCAATAGGTGACCCCCAAAGAGTGGCCCCCAGGAGACTAGCTGATCTCCCTCCCACCCTCCAGGCCAAGACCTCCACTGGCCTGATCCCTTCCCGGATACTACCCCTGCCGGCTGGGTGTCCCTAGGCACTGAGCTGTCCAGTATGGTGGCACCCTGGCTCCTCAAGAGGGCACCAATGTCAACATCCCCTGAGGGGCTCCTTAGTGAGGGCAAGGGGGGAGGCCTGGCCTAACTGTCCCAGTTCCCCTCTTAAATCTAGCCTCCACCTCTACTAGAAGGGGGAGCCCCCATTTCACATGTCAACATGGAGAGGTGGTAAGGGAGTGCGACCAAACCAAAAGGACCTGCGCCGGTAAGGAGCAGGTGAGCGCGATCGGAGATGCCCACCACAACTGCCCCTGCCGCCCACCCACTTCTCAGCCTGAAGCAGCTCACCCCAGCACCTCAGGGCCACCCAAAGTCCAAAGAGCAGTTGGGTGGTGGGGAGCCACAGGGACACTTGGAGCTGGTAAGGCAGCCTGGAGAGGACGGGGTGCCGCCAGCCCTCTGGGTCCAGGACTCATCTTAGCAAGAAAGTTCCCGCGACTCCGGGCGGCTGACGTCCCGTCCGCTTGCAAACATTTATTGAGCGCCGACTGCCCAGCCCCGGGACAGTGCAACAGAGAGCCCCTGGTCCCCGCGGGAGGAGGGAGCTCGGAGGACCAGCCATTTTAACACTTCCCTCCGCTGCCCCCCAAGCCCTCAAGCCTAGGTTTGGGGAGGGGGCCGGGGGTCCTCAGAAGGTCTTCCCTGGAGTCCAGCTGTTCCACGGAGCCTCCGTCCCCATCCCCGGGAGAAGGCGGCACCCCTGTCCTCCCCGCGCCAGCCTCCTAGGCAGAAGTGGAGGGGCAGCAGGCAGAAGGCGAAGATCCCGAAGACTTCCCGGCACCTTTGGGACCTGGAGGGTAAGAGCGGAGGGGGAGGGGAGAAGGTCAAGGGCGAGGATGAACCAGTCCTACCGAGGTAACCCCGGCGAGCTGCTGGGCTCCGGCGCCACCTAGGGGCTGCTCCTGAGATAGCAGCCCGTGACATTCCTGGACCAGGGCGGCCCCCGTCCCAGAGCCCGACCCAAAGCTTGGGAGTTCCAGCTCCGGCGATCGTGCTGCCACCTCGTGGCCGCCGGGCTCCGGGGAACTTGGGGACAGTATGATGGTCAGGGCTCACCCTCCACACCCAGGCACGGGGGCGGGTTTCCTTTACCCCTCAAATATAAAAAAAGGAAGAATCCAAGACTATATCATTTCTCTGCACCCTCATAGTGCAGCCTCTGCCAGTGGGACCTCATCCAACCCCAGGGGGAGGGCTGGGGATGTGGCTCAGGGGTGGGGCGCAGGCCGGCGTGGGCACGTGGGAGGCCTGGGGTTCCATCTTCAGCAGCAGAAACGGAACAAACAAAAAACCGACCAACAGCCGGGCGCGCCTGTATTCCCAGCAGCTCGGGAGGTTGAGGCAGGAGGATGGCAAGTTCAAAGGCAGCCTCGGCAATTCAGCGAGGTTCCTAAGCAACTCAGCAAAACCCTGTCTCTAAATAAAATACGAAAAAGGGGCTGGGGATGTGACTCAGTGGTTAAGCACCCCCAGGTTCAATCGTTGGTACAAAAAAAACCCTCAACTAACAAAAAGTCCCAGGGCATAGGATCCGCTCCTGGAGGCAATCTTTCACACCCTGCAGAGCTGGAGGGAGGGGAAGGGTCATCGAGTTCCAGCCTCCACCCTAGAGGAGCTCACGGCCATGGGGCCACTGCACCTGCCCTCCTCTGCAAGCCGCTTCCCTGAAGGCATTTCAAGCTGCTAGAAGGGAGTTCTCTTTAAACCCCCAGGAACTGAGACATTTTGTCATTGCAGCCTGCACATTTGTCATTGCACAGCCTTGGTCTGGGGCGGCAGTTAGAAATACAGGGGTTTGAGCCCCACCCAGACCTAAGGGATGGGGTCTGCCTTTGATGAACAGAGATGGGGAGACCCCACACCCCATGTGGCAAGCTTCAGCTCCTGGAGCTGCTCTCTGCAGCTCAGCTGCACCCTACAAATCCAAAACAAGGCCCCACCTGTTGCCTCCCGCGCTCCCCCACCAAGCGCTGTGGGGCACCAACCTGGGCAGGAGTCTAACACACGCCACTCAGACCCGCCCTCCCCCTTCTGTGGCTCCCCAGTGCCCAAGCCCAAACCTGACTCCCAAAGACCCCCGGCCCCTCCGCGCGCTCTGCCATCTCTCCACCAATGCAGCCACACCTCAGACACCCTGAACTCCACCAGATCCCCGACGAGCCCCAAGGCCACCCCCCAGCCTTCCAAAAAACTGAAACAGGCTGCCCAAGCACTGCCCCGGGAAGCCCCCCAGACCCTCCCAGCTGGGTCGCACCACAGTCAGCATGCGGCTCTAACCACCACCCTACCACCCACCGTGTCCACTGCTGGCCCCTGGCACCAAGCAGGCCAGCACACCATTTGGCCAGAGAATAAACGAACGAGGAAGTGCCTGGGCCACGCAACTTCTAAACCACGAATTCCACCAAGTGGAGTTAGGGCCCCTGCTGCACCTGCTGGCAGATACCACTGGGTCCCACTACCTCCCTGCCAGGCCACCCCACGCCTGGGAAAGGATGTTATTACCCTGATGGGCCCAGAGAGGGGAGTGACTTGCCCAAGGTCACACAGCAAACCTCAGCTCCCACTGCTCCACTCTGGCAACATTTCTAGGCTGCTCCTCAACTCTACAGCTGGTGCCCCCTCCACCGGTGGTGAGTGCTGTGGTTAATCCCCCACTGGGTTCAACTATGAGCCCACAATGGGTTCCCCCCGTCCCCTCCACATCATGCCCCCAGCCACCTGCTGCTGCTGCTGCGCCCGCTGCTCCTCCTCCTCGGCGGTGGCCAGCGTCCTGGGTTCTCGCCTTGTCAGGCCGGGCCAGCCTCTTGCCCGCTGAGTTTCGGGTGGTGTAACTGTAGACAGAGGTGTAGCCCTGGCCGGTGAGTGGACAGAAGCGTCGGGTGTGGGCGCGCTCCCGCGTGGCACCACACTGGGGACACACGTAGTCACGCAGTATGGGGCACAGCACCCTGCCTGCCTCGTCCTTCAGCACGTGAGACTGGTAGATGGCCCGGGACTCGCCGTTGTGTTTGCAGAAGGAGCACAGGCGTTCAGGAGCTGGTGAGGATTCTGGTGAGCTAGGTTTCTGGCTCTCTGGTCCTGGTGTTGGCTCTGGCTGGGGGTCCAGCCTGGCCTTGGGTTCCTCTTCCCCACGCAGAGCCCCAACCAGACGTGCCAAACCCAGGTAATCCGTCCACAGGTCGAAGGTCCCCATAGCTGGGCAATGTGTACCAGGCAAAGAGAAAACCCAAAAATCCCTGCCCAGCCCCAAGCTCTCTGGCTGCCCCTTCCTCGCTGCCCCTCCCTCCTCTCTGGAGCCTAGGAGTCTGAGCAGGGTTCTCTCCTTTTACCTCCAAGGGAGTGTGAAGGGGAGGGGCAGACTGGGGGAGGTTCCCTATGGTCAACACCCCCTTAATGTACCTGCCAAGGGGATGGGGGGGCTGGACACAGGCTGCAGGGGGCATTGGATCCAGGGTTGCCACCCCCACACTCCCTAGGGGGCCGCCCCTGGTGTGGGTGGTGAAGGTGGGCTGAGAACGGTCCTGAAGACAGCGGCCCGTGTAACAGTAACTTAGTAATTTCTTCCTTCCTTCCCGGGGGCTGGGGAACGGGCCAGGTGCCCCCAGCTTGAGGATGTGGCCACCGTGCGCTCTCTGGAAGGAGGCTGCCCCCCCCACTCACGGAATGAAGCTAGGGCCTGACCCCCAAGCTCCGGCCTCCCTCCCTGGCCTCCCTCCCTTGGGGGTTTTCACACCCTTTGTGTCTGGAGCACCCCCTAGAATGGCTGGCGCTGCCCAGAGGGGTTATTCATGGAGGCTGCAAAGCCTCTCCTCCCTCCCTGCCTGCAGCAGAGACAGAGCACTCTGGGGTGGGGAGGGCAGGGGCCAGGGTGGGCTAATGCTGGGACCCCCCCCCCACTTGCCTGCTCCAGATCTCCCCTCCCCATCAAGGGAGAGGCCGGCCTGGTCTCAGCCGGTGGGGTGTGCTCAGGAGTTACCAGCCGGCAGACTCCCAGGAGCCAGGCACCACAAGGTAGGGGTCTAAGGAGGGACACTGGGCAGGGTACAGACCGGAGCCCGGAACTCAGCCACTGGGAGGTGTGCGCCCCGCCCACCAACAGAACCCGCCTGCCCCCTTCAGAAATGGGCCTCAGTGGCCTGGCCTCGGCCTCCACAGCCCCAAGGCCCAAGCTCCCAGGGCTTAGTCCCCAAGTCTTCGTCCCTCAAGATCAGACCCTCCTCCTGAGGGCCGGGGTCTGGGCAGGCTGAAGGGTTTTGGAGGCAGAGCGCCCTGTCCCTTTCCGGTCCCCCTTAGGCTGTGTATGGCCCAGCCACAGTGACATTCATCCCCCGGTGGGTCTGGTCTCGGTCCTCACAACCCACCGACAACGATGAATGTTGATTGTGACCTTCGCTGTGGCCTGTGTCCTCTGACTGGATGGGGGCTCCCCCGGATCTGGTCTGGAAGGTGGGGGTCCCAGGAGGACGGCAGTTCCAGGCCTCGGGGTCCACTCAACGGTCGATGGTTTGCCTGAGCTGCCCAAACTCACCGACAGGTTGAATGTTCCCCCAAACCCTTGGCAGATTCTCAGGGACCTGGAGTGGGGCTGGAGGCGGGAGGTCAGGTAGGGTGATGGGGGGGAGGGGAAGGAAGTGGGGGTCCCCTGGACTCTCATTACGTCAGCAAACAGTTACTAGGTGCCAACTGTCCCACTCTTGCCTCTGGGACAAGGGGGGACCTATTTCAATAATAACAGTGAGTGTGGCCTTTGTCACGCAATCCAGAGGGGAGGGGCTGTGCTCACTTCTGCACTTCATGGGGGGGGGTAGGGATGAGCCAAACAGCCCTGAGAGGCAGAGGTGACCCCCGTTTGTCAGTTGGGGGGGCTGAGGCCCAAGGGCACTAAGAAACTTAAAGAGGTAGTCGGGATTCCAGGTGGCCCCGGGCAGTCTGGCAGCTGGGCTGTTCTGGTCCCTGGGGACAGGGATGGGAGAAGACACAAACAAGCCGCTTTAATACAATGCAGTGCCTTCTGTGAATCCCTGGGCAATGCGGGTAAACAAGACTTTTAATACAATGTAGTCCTTTCCCCAGCTTCACCTGCTGGGCGCCATGTTCATGCTGCAGAGCCCCTACCTCCCAAGCCACAGCGCTCCCAGGAGGTGGGAGGTGGGATGCTAGCGAGTCCCCCGGGACAAGGCAGAAGCCTGAGGACCAGAGAGGGCACCCCCTCCCCCTGCACAGCCTTAGATCCTTCTGGAATCAGGGCCCAGGTGGGTCCCTGTGCTGTGGGGTGGCCAGTAACCTTCCAAAGAAGAGGACTCCAAAACAGGCTGCCCTGCCCCCTCCCTGCTTCCTCATGCTAGAAGGACTCCTTATCCCTCTCTCCGGGGGCCCAGGCCACCAGGGCACCTCTCCAGTCGTGCAGTGACCAGGGAGAGAGGTGGCTGCCACCCCCCACCCCCACACTTTTTTGGGGACTCCTGCAGACAACCTGAGGAGGAGCATCCAGATTTCCTCGTCGCTGCTGCCTGACTGAGGGGAATAAGGGCTCCAGAGGATCCTTCTGGAGTAATCCCACGGCACAGTAGGAACCCCAAGTGTGTGTGTTTGGGTGAACCCCACAAAGAGCCTTGGGGAGGGGGCAGAAGCAGCCCTGCCCAGCCTTTCCAGGACCCACACAAGCCCACCCACTGTGCCGCGCGGTGGCCCACGCCTGGAATCCCAGCGACTAGGGAGGCCGAGGCAGGAGGATTGCAAGTTCAAAGCCAGTTTCAGTAACTTGGTGAGGCCCCATCTCTAAATACAGAAAAAGGGCTGGGATGTGCCCCACCTTTCAGTCTCCTCCGGTACAAAGAAAAAAGGAGAAAGCCCGCCCACTCATTCCCCTGGGGACTCCTCTCAAGTCCTAGGTCCCCCCAACTCAACGCCCAGGAAGCCCGCAAGCCCCAGGGCCTGCCCCATCTGGCACCTAAGTGCCGCTCCGGGAACTCCCAAGGCCACCAAGTTGCGCCTCCTTAGAGCCCTCCTCAAAAGGCCGCTTTGCCCTAGGAGTCCCCAAAGCTACTCCCAGGGAGCCCAGTCCCCTCTAAGGTCCCTCGCACTGGGTGCCCCCAAACAGGCCTATGAAGGACCCCCCTTGGAGTCCTCCGGCAAACTCGCCCTCATAAGGCACCCCACACTCCACACCCCCGCGCAGCCCCGACGGGCCTCTGGGTCCCACCCGCGTCTGCAGCTGGCGAGGCGCCCTGCCCCCGCGGCCCAGGCGCCCGCAGGCCCCATTCCAACGCCGGGCGGGGGCCGGGCGGGGGTCTGGGGCGAGTGAGTGCCTGCCCTCGGAGGACCGCAGGGGACAGAGGGGACGGATCTGGGAGTGCCTAGAACGCCCGAGGGTGAGTGGGAAGCACAGGGCTGCAGTCTGGTGGCAGTGCCGCCCATCAGTCACCCCATTATTCGGAGACGTGCTGTCCCTGGGGAAGATGAGGCCGAGAGCGCAGAACAGCTCTAGGGGCCCCTCAAACTTCGTTCGCGACCTTGAGCTGTCATGGGAGGTGCCATCAGGCAAGAGAGGTACTTGGCCACGCGGCCGGCGGGGCGGCTCTAGAAGACTCTCCTTTTCCTTCTTGGAGACCTAATTGCTTCCTTAGAAGGCTTTGACCTTGGCCTGCCACGTGGGGAGGTCCCCGCAAGGGTCTCTTCCAGCCGGGGCAGGGATGTGGGGGCCCGTCTGGGCCGTCTGGAAGGCGGGTGGGCGGGGCCTGGGGGGAGGCGGGGGAGGGGCGCCGTCCACGGTGCCTCTTTGTCTGCCTGAGGTTGGCCGCGCTGCCCGCGCCTCTCTGCCTGGGGTCGCCGGTCTCTTTGTCAGCTGGGGTCTCCTGTTTGGGTCTGACTGTACCCTTCCTGTGCCTGTGTGCGGCTAGGCCTCCTGCCCTGCCTGTCCGCCTGCCAAGGATGTCTGGGTCAGCCCGGGTGCTGCTGGCCATGACCACCCTCTCCCCTGTCCCCTCTGTCCCAGGTGGCTGTCTACCTGTAGGCTCCACATCTGGGCTGTGTGGTGTGGAGCCACCCTGGGTTGTGAGCAGCCCTGTCCCCTCCTCTGGAGCCTGCTGTCCCTATCTGGCCCTCTGGTGGGGCTGACTTTCCCTCCCACAAGTTCCCAGGCTGCAGTCAGTCCCCGTCTGCCTTTGAAGTCCCTCAGGGTGGGAGGTGGGAACCAGGCCCTGTCTGGGCAGGGGGCTGAGAGTGGGAGGCGTTGTCCTCCACTGGCCAGACTGACACTGGGCCCTGTCCCCATCCCCACTGTGAACTCGGGCAGGCAGAACAGCTGGCGGGGGTCTGGGGGTCAGGGTCGGAGGTGAGCCACCAGGGCACATCAAGTTACAGGAGGAGGAGGGGTCAGAGGTCAGGGCTTTGGAGCTCCCCGAGGTGTCTGGTGGCCTGTGTGTGTGTGTCTTCGCATGTGCTCCTGGTGTGTCCCCGTGTGCCTGTGTCAGGCTGTATGTATGTGCAGCAGCCAGGGGGGGAGTGGTCAGGACTTGGAAGACAAAGAGCCCATTATAGGAAATTCAGTAAGAGCCAGAGCCCCAGGGGTCTCCATGAGGTCACCTCCGTGGCCCAGGCCCACTAGACTGGCCCGCAGGGGTTCCTCACTGAGGTGACACCTGCGTGGCCTCCCGTGCTGTCTCCTGGGTTTCCTTTCCAGCTGTGGCGTCTTCAGACAGGGGCCCATCTGTTCTCAGGCCTAAGGGCGGCAGGTGGGTGGGAGCTGGAACTCTTTCCCAGGCCTGCTGGGTTGGAGGCCAGGGCTAGAGGAGGAGAGGATCCCACTCCCCACCTGGGGTGAGGGGTGATGGAGGAGGTGGGCGAATGAGAAATTTAGACATTTTGTTGGGGGTGCTGGGCCAGCCGGGGCTGGGTCAGCTGGGGCTCCGTCTGCAGGAACAGGAGAGCACGCGTCTCCGCACCTGTTAACGGCGCTTTCCAGCCTGAGCTACTCTCCTGGGCTATTTTGGGGGTTCCATGGGTGTCTGGAGTCCAGGTGGGCGTGTCCTCTAGTGGGTGGTTGTCTCCCTGCCAGTTGTGTGTGTGTACATCCCTACTCCTGTGGGCTTGTTTGTGTGTGGATGTCAGTGCTCCTGTGGGTGTGTGTCAGGCTAATTGTGTGTAATCACAGGTGGATGTGTGAGCCAGTATATGTGGGTGTCTCAGCATTTGTCAGTGTCATTGTAGTCTGTGTGTCAGGCAATCACGGCTTCCCCCCGACCCTACCCCTCCTACTACAGTGTAGTCCTCTGGGAGGACAGGGATTTTGTTCTCATTCACAGCTGCATCCCTGCCTATGTTAAAACTGCTGGCACATAGTAGATGTTCAATAAACAAGTATTGCGTTGGTGGACATCTGGGATTTCTGCATATCTGTGTCATTCTCTGTGGGTCTGTAGCCAGTATGCATGTGTTATTAACTCTGCGTTGGTGCCAGTGCCACTCTAGATGTCCAGGTGCATAATCAAGTGTTGGAGTTGGACACTATAGGTGTAGGTACCGTGGGGTACAGTGTCATGGTGGGTATCTAAGAGGGTCAGTTTTACTATGGACAACTGTGTCAGTGTGTGCAGCTGTGTTCCTGGGGGATTTGTTCATGTGTGTGCCAAGACTCCTGTGACCTGCTGTCAGTTGCCAGTGTCCCTGCAGGCCTTGTAGGGTCTGAGGGAGTAGCTGAGTCCTTGTGCATCACACCTCTGTGGACATGTCCCAAGTTCTGTGCATTGGAGCCTTTATGGGTCTGTGGTTGGCACTGTGACTCTGGGCGACAGAACACAGGTGACCATGTGACCCTGGGCATGCCTAGGTCTGTGTGTGCAGTAGAGAACCGTGTATCAGGATTGTGTGCAGGGCTGAGTCTGTCTACCTCATCTGGTGGTGGCTGCACGTGGGGTTTGTTGGTTGGTGTTTTGCGGTGCTGGCTGCGGCGCTACATCTCAAGCCCATGGCCACAGGTTTTGGTGTGGCAGTATTTTCACGAATATCAGCCTGTCCCAACCCTCCTGCACACGTGGCAGCTGTTGTGGGTGGCCGTGTGTACGCGTGTCATCGGCATGATCTGGGGTGGAAGGAGTACTCATGGGCATAGTGTGTGGCTTTGGGGGTCTTCCTCTGGGGACTTAAGCAGTCTGATTGTGGTGCAGCAAATATATCTGAGTAGTGGGGGATGGGTGGGAAAGAAGTGGGGGAGCCGGGGCGAGGTGGTGGGGGACTTAGCCCTTATCAGCCAATGAGGTATCTTCTCCTTCCCCCACCCTCAGCATGCCCTCCAGGATGAGGTCCCCGTGAAAGGCACCCTGTCGCTTTAAAAGGGCTCCCCGGCAGTGTGACTCGGGGTCATTTTTCCTTTTTCTGGCCAGTTTTGGAGAGCGGGTTCCTGTTAGCAGATCTTTGCCCCCGAGAATACCCTTCGGCCGCCGCCGTTAATGACAGGCCGGCGGGCGGCGGGCAGGGGACGCCGGGGGTCCAGCAGGCGGTGCGGCCGCGGCCAGGCCCGAGAGGGGCTCCTGCCGGCTGGGTCCCGCCAGGCCAGCGCAGGCCCTAGCGCCCGTGAACTTGGCCGGGGAGGCTTCCCGAGGCGCGGCCAGGCCTCTCGCAGCCCGGGGCTTCCGGAGCTCCGCCCGCCCTGCGCCCCCAAGA